TTTATCTGCACATGCATATCTGTGGATGGGTATAGCCAGTGATGCTTGTAGGTGGAATATGCCATGCCATGCCATTGCTTCTTAATACAATTTATGAAATTAATGGTCACTGGTAGTATCCAGATTCCTAGAAAAAAAATTTGCTTTGTTTTGCAATTATTTTTTGCATGCAATTTTTTTGCACGCAAATAGTCAAGAAATACAGTTTAATTATTGTTGCTTTCTAGTATACGTGCGAATTTAACTTACCCAAACTAGCTTTTATGTTCTTGGCATGCGAAAGGGCGGCAAAGCCTCCTCTGGAGCAATACTGAAGCGTTTCTGCAGGGGTGAGTGGTGGTGAATTTCTGGGGAGCCCAGATAACGTGCCACTGTTACAGGGAACGCTTCATCGCAGGGCTTGAGTTTCACAAAGGCAAAGTCCCCCCGGGAGCTTAGGAAATATCTTCCCAGAACACAACCAGGGAAACGTTGGCACAGGTCGAAAAGAAAATAAATAGCAGAGCTGGCAAGAGACGCAGCAGCTCTGTGTCAACAGAGCACGTAAGTGCAAAGTGTTTGAGCATGTGCTCGGGTCTGGGTGAAGTGAGGGGAGCGTCAGTGTTTGCAAAGCCCCTCTCTGGGATTAAGCAGAGTTGTGGTCTAAGACCTGTTTTTTCCAGTGGTCGAGGATTGCGTTAGTTGGGAGGTTTAAGAGCCCAGCGAAAGCCCCAGATCATCTCTGCGGGAGGATAAGCAGTTCTGCCCGAGGATTTCTGCTCAGAACAGATGCTGAATTGGGATTTATTTATTTATTTAAAACAAAGATCTTTAATTCATTTCAGTTAAGGACCTTGAATTCAAGATTTTGTGGTGAAAGCAGAGCAAGTCCGCATGGGACATGGCACCGGTTACTACCCTCACAGCCAAAGAGATCCTGCAGACGAAGGTTTCCCCTGTGTGGTTTATTTATTGGGTAATTTGATTTCCCTGGTGATCCCGGGGGATCCCTCGAAGGCGGAGGGACTGGCCCCGCTGCCGTGTCTCCCCGCAGCCGCCTGCCGAGGCCGGGGGATCTCTGTGCTGGGACGGCAGCCACAGCGCGGTATTTTCGGGTGACTTTCTTGGTGCTTTCGCACTGCTGCCGGAGCTGTGACCCTGTAAAAATGGAGGAAGAGGAAAATGGTTTAAAAAGGTCCTTTGAAAACCCAAATAGGTGATCCCAGACGCATTCCCCTCTGCTTGCGAGACGTGCCCCCTTTTCCTAGCTGCACAGAGCCCTGTGCATCCTTTAAGGTCGCGCGGATCTGACCCTCTTTGGCCGGTTGAATCATTTCCTGTTTTCTTCAGTTTTTGAAGAACTCCAAAGCAAGCTGGAAATGTTTGCAGTTAGGGTGAACCAACTGCGCTGGGGCCATGGGAAAAACACAGGCGTGCTAAATCTGCGGAGGGAGAGGATGCGAGGCAGAGGGGCTGGTCCTGGCTTTTGCTGAGCAGGTAGCTGAAACGCTTTGGGAACCCTGCCTGGTTTTAGCAGGAGATGGGTTTTATCTATCAGTGGATGGTTGCACTGATTGGTCTCGATGTTGCACCGATGATTTTTCCCTTTTAAGAACCGATCTGTGCATTGAGGTGTCAATGCCAAGAGCATCTCCCCGGGCAGGTGCCTGTGGGTCTCTTTTCCTCCAAAAGTTGTCCTGGTAGCATCCCTGCGCCCCGCGCGCTCAGGTGCATTGTGTGCACGTGAGCAGTCAGTAAAGCTTTTCTTGCAGCTCTCTCCATGCTTTGTTTTGTTTGTTTTTTATACAACCCCTGCATTGCTAAATTAATCTCTGTAAATCTCAGGTACAGTTTGCAGCTGGTCCGAGTAAGCCTCAATGGCCACGATGGGCGCTGCCGACAGCAGCTCTCATTTGTAAGCGCTTTTTGAAGAATTTGACACCCTGGCCGCGAGGACTCAAGGTGGCTGGAGGGCTGGTCATCTCGCATCCCTCTTTTCTTCCCGGATGCTGGGATTGAGCTGGTCGAGCTGGTCCTGAATCCTGACCCACCTCTATCCCCACTGGGCATTGCAGCCACGGCCAAAGTTCCTCCCTGCTTTTTGCCCCAGGACTCTGGGACCGACCTCATTGCTCGCTGTCGGAGAGCGCAGTCGGCACGCACCCACGCGAGCGGGAGCAGATGATGGGTGCAAGCGGGAGCAGATGGATGCAAGCGGTTGCAGCTTCAGCTCTTGCTTTGCCCGGGGGCTGCTGAGCGCTGGCGCTTGGCCATGGGGAAGGCTTTGCTCTCACCTCCCTGCTTTGGGGTTCGGCAGAGCTGGGGAGCCCATGGCGGGGTGGGGGGGGATGGATGTCAGGCTGTCAGCCCCACGGGGGCTGTGTTGGGAAGAGCTCAAGGTGAGGAAGCAAGTCGCAGAGGGAACGGAGGAGGAGGTTTGGTGCGGTCAGCCACCCTGGGAAGATGCGGCCCTAAGTGATGGGTTGGGGGGAAAGGTGGCTTTTTTGCATTCGTATTCCCAACAAAGGGCTGCGCGGGGATGAGGGCTGCAGTCACGCCGGAGTTGTCCCCTGAACTCCTCCAACCCCCCGTGAAGCCCGCCAGCTTGAGTATTTCGTAAGCAGCTCGAAGAGAGCTGTGCTGGGATATTTATTTACATCCCATCGAGCCGGCGGGTGCGTGCGGGGTCGGAGCGAGCTCCGGATGGGGCGAGGGGGAGTTTTCCCCCCCGCAGTGAAGCAGTCGTGGTGGGTTTCTGCCTCCCCTTGCCCTGTCCCCAGGTCTCACCCCATCCCCAGGTCTCACCCCATTGCATTAAAGCCCACAACAGGCAGCTGGTGCTGGGGAGGGCTGTCCGGAGCCCCTGCTTGCCAGGCGGCCACGGTCACAGCTCACAGCATGGGGACATGTGCTCTCTGTGGCATGAACTGGGGTATTTCTCGCTGGGATTATTTGGGTTTATCTCTTGTTTTCTGTGGTGTCTGTCCCCTGCCAGCAACAGCAGTGTCACCCCGGCTGGGTGTGTTTGTGTCACCGATGGTGCCTGTGCTCGGTGCGGGTGACGGCTGATGCCCCGCGCCTGAGGATCCTCTGGCCCTGAGCTCTGCAAAGTGGGGAACCCAGCTGGGGACAGGGACGTGCATTGAATAATATTTGTCGTGTTTTGCCATTTGCATTAACGCGGTGCCCCAGGGGCAGAAGGACGCAGTGGGGCAGCCGGCGGCTCCGGGGTCACGCCGGAGGGGAAAGGCAGCAGAGCCGTTCCCCAGCGTGGCAGGTCCCTGGGGGAGACTGCTCTGTGTCCCCCCACCTGATGCTCCTCCAGAAAAATCCCTCTTTGAGGGGATGAAGAAGACGGGATCAGCCCCCAAAGCGACTTAGCCGTGGCGGTCCCGGCAGCAGGAGCCAGCAGCTCGCCAGCAATGCTCGGCCACCCAGTAATCGGCTTGCTTGCACGCTGTGCTTCTCCTGCGGGAATTGGGCACTGACCCTGGGGGTGCCGCTGGCAGGTCGCTGAGTGCTGATGAATTGATTCAGCTCTTCACCGCCCTCCGTATTTGCCCCACCGTGACTCGCGGTGGCCAAAAATCACCTTGTATTGTTGCAAACGGAGTTATTCCCCATCGTCATTGGGGCACGCAGGGACCCTGCGGATAGTCCAGCTCCACGGTGGCAGTGGGAAATGTCCTTTGGCTTTTTTGGCTCTTGCCACGCGGGGTCTATGTGCAGCTGGAGCCCCTTGGCATCGTCCCTGGGGTTCCCTGCGTGGGTGGTGGCCAGGCCAGGTCTCCTGGGCATCAGCCATGGGTGCCCTCACCTCCCGCAGCCCTTCCTGCAGAGGAAGCGGCTTTTAAGCAACATTGAGGGTATTTTGCAGAAATAACCCCGAGGTGCTGCCGGTGCGAGGAGCCGTTGGCACAAGCAGTTCCAGCACGAAGGCAGCACAGCGTGGAGGAGGGAGGACATCTCTGGGTATGTGGCAGGAGGGGAGGGGGTGCAGGTTTGGTGTTTCTTGGTGCCTCTCGGCCAAGAGAGGAACGTGGAGAAGATTGCTGCATGGGTTTTTAATTTGCAAGGAAAGGCTGTACCTGCTTTCACCATAAATGTGATTTGAAAAAAATGTCGTCTGTTAGCAGGAGGGGAGTGGCATTTCTTTTAACGAAAGATTAAACCTCAGCCACAGGGGATGTTTTCCTTAAACCACAGATGAAAATGAAAACCCCGATCTCCGGGGTGGCTCTCGCCGGGGACGCGGTGCTGTGCCGTGAGCCGGTGCTGCCCAGTGCGTGGGCTGGGAAGGGGCTGTGTGGGGGCTGGTGGGGAGAGCAGGGAATGTAATGGGTCCTGCAGACCTGGAGAAAAGCTAGTATTTGTTGCTCCCCTGGCTGCCCTGAGGAGCTGTAAAGCATTTTCCATGGGATGGGGGGAAGGCACTAAACTCCTCACGCGTTCCTGTACCATTCATCCTATAGCAAGCTCAGCCTTTGGATGCTGTGGGAGCTGTCAGGCGTGGTTCGTCACCCCGGCCCCCAGAGCCCCTCCGCTGGGTTGTGATCATACTTGCAGGTGATGCCGATGTCACCAGGACCAAGGGCATGGCAATGCCTTAAATAAATAACTAAGGTTAATCCAGTGTCTCGGTGAGCCTGTGTGCTTCGCCTGGGCTCTCAGGTTTGGTTCCTCCCTGCCCAGGGCTGCAGCCGTGGGGGTCAACTGCTGCTGGGGGGGTCTCTGCGTATGGGCGGACTTTATCTGGGCTGCTTCTGGTGAAGGAAATGCATTTTTGTTTTGTTTTAATTTTTCTGGAATGGTTTCGGACAATTGATTTTCTAAAATAGACTCAATGAGAGGAAATTCATTTGTTAACCTGTCCCCATTCTGGGGAACAGGAGGACGGGGTGCAGATACGGTGCTTCCTTGGTAGCTTTATTTACAATTGCATCTGCTTTAGGGCAAACCCAAACCTCTAAATTAACCGCCATGTTTTGTCTCCCCTCCCCAACCCCTCCTCTGTTAATCAGGATCTAAACGGACAGAAGGAGCTGTGCCCACGTCTCTGCCACCTGAAGAAAGGCCCCAATGGCTACGGCTTCAACCTGCACAGTGAGAAGTCCCGGCCAGGGCAGTTCATCCGCTCGGTCGACCCCGACTCACCAGCCTCCAGAGCTGGGCTGCGGCCCCAGGACCGGCTGGTGGAGGTAACAGCATGGGGACTCGGCACCTCCCTGCCTGGGAAGCCTTTTGGGGTTTCCTCGGCATATGCTGCACAGGATGTTCAATCCTGCCTGGTCTGGCAGGAGCGGCTGGGTCCTGTCCCCCTCGCGCAGGTGGGGAGAGGGATGGCAGAAGCGATGGGACCCTTAGGAAGCCTGAAGCTGAAACCAGCCCCCATCCCTTGAGCTTTTCCATCAGATCCCCCCGTGTTCCTCCATAATACAGAGCCATAAGACCGATGCGGGTGCTTAGGCAGTGGCTTTGCGGTCCTTTGGCAGCTCGTTCAAAGCAGGCACTTGCAAGCGCTGAAATCTAGATGATGCTGCTGGCTCTGGCTGGCACAGAGGAGGGGGGGAGCGGACAAACTGTTGCCCCTGTGCCCATCCGGGTGGCTCGGGGGTGCCAGCGGGATCCCACGGACAGATGGGGTGTTTGATGGGTCCCCGTCTTCCCCCCGCAGCACAGCGAGCCCCGTAGTCGGTGGCATTGCCTGATGCCGCTCAGTGCTGGAGCTGGCTCTGCCCGCTGCAGCGAAAGGGGCGCAGGGACGGATGGGACCCGTCCCACCACCAGCGCAGGGGAGGGGGTGACCCCCCACCCAGCCACCCTCCGGTCTGACGTCCTGCCGCGGGCGTAAGGATGGGTTGGTGCTGCCCAGCTGAGCTGATGCGCTGCCAGGCAGGCGTTTGGAAAAAGAGGGGGAAAAGCTTTGGAGAGATGTTAAGACATGAGATTGTGAATGACGGGGAGAAACCGCTCTTGAAAGCAGCTTCCTGGTCACTGAGTGCTGGACAACACAAGTTTCGATGCAGCCAGGAATCACCCTCCCTTTGGCTTGTTTGTGTCTTGTGTTTTTCCTGAAGAATGAGGTTTTTTCCCGTCCAGAGCTGCCTCTGCTTTGAGCGGCGCGCGGACAGAGGGACAGGCAGGGCTTGATCTGGCAGCCGATGCCCCAGGCACGGCAGCCATCACCCTTTTTTGCTGCAGGAGCACCTGGATGTCCCCTGCTTGGGGTGATACGTGGTCCCATGGGGACCAAGCCGTGGCCCTCGCTGCCGGCTCAGAGTGGGAACAGGCTTTGCACTCCTGGAAGAAAACACTCGCATCCCGCAGAGCCGGGCGAGTTGGGGAAATACTAAGACCAAAGCACTCGCCTGCTTTCTAGCCCCGTGAATAATTGTTCCTCAGCTGGTGGGAGCTGCTGCCTCTTCCCAGCACCTGAAAGTTTAATGCTGGGAGCAGGATGGGGCCGGGGCCGGGAGCGGGGCACCGGCGGCAGCAGCTCCCAGCAGCGCGGTGTCACGGCGAGGCGTTGTGTTATTTATTTATCGGTGCTTGGCGGAGCGCCTGGCACACACAAAGCGGCGAGGGGTGAGCTGGCGAGCTCGGAAACCCAATCCCCTCCGTACTCGCTCTTTGGGGCTTTGATAAATATTTGATGCCCCCCAGCCCTTCTGCCCTGGGCGGGCTGGGGGTGCTGGGGTGGGGGGAGAGCAGCCCCACGCTGCCTGGCTGAGCTTAACCAGGGGTGAGCACTGGATGTGAATTGGGGTGACCTGGGGCGGCAGGAGGATGCTGCTGGGGTTACAAGCCAGCAATTGAAGTTGCCGGTGAGATGCAAAGCCTGGGGAGGGGGGTTTCCCTTTCTGTCCTGGCCCTCAGGACCTGCTTCTGCCCCAGGTTTGTGTTCAGGCATCCAAAACACAAAGTTTGGAGCTGGCCTAGCTCAGGCTCTGCAGTGTTCATCTGCCTTGTCCCTTTGCGGTGGGGACAAGCAACCTCCGCCCCCGGGGTCGTGCCGAGGCTGTCGGGGGGCTGGAGACCCTCCGAATGGTCTCCAGCCCCCCGACAGCCTCGGCACGACCCAGAGGCGGCAATTGCTCGTTCCTGCTGTGATGCAGCCACGACTTTGCAGCGAGAGAGACCATGGCTGTCCTGCTTCCCTGGAATGGGCTGCAGCATCCTGGGAGCTGCTGGGGCAATGCCATGCTGGTGTAGCTCAGCTCCCGGGGGGGCTGCTGGGATGGGGTTACCCCACTCCCGGGCTCGGTCCCTGACTCTGGCATCGGTGTGCTCTGTTTTTCGGGGTCTGGCACTGGAGAAGGCAGTTGTCTCTGCAGGCGGTGGAGGAATAAAAATGTGTTGATGCTGGTGATCCCGGACGGCCGTGGCCCTGCAGGAGAGCAGGCGTGTGCAGCCAGAGCATGCAGTTATAACGTCATGTGCGGCTTAGAAAAACAAACAAAACCTGCTGTCCTCTTCTCCTAACGAAGGCCTTTCTGTGTTGGACAGATTTCTGAAGTCTTTGATTTGTTTCAGAAAGCTGTATTAGCAGAGTAGCTATTTTTAAGAGGAGGTTACTCTGTTCCCGGTGATCTCTGCTCCACCAGCGCTCTCTGCCCTACTCCATCCAAGCTGAATTAGCACATCGCTCTGCCGTCCCGCAGGCAGGCTCCTTTGGATGCCAAAGACAGGACGGGTGGTGAAGGGTGGGTCGAGCTTTGCCGGAGACAGGCTGGAGCATTGAAAAGAGTTTATCGCACAAAAGCGGGTCCAGCAGCGAGGGGCCGGGCAGTGTGGAGACCTTCCCCTGTGGGACAAAGGGTGATTCATTCCCCACCGCGAACAATGCCTCGAAATCACAATTGTCCCCTCGCTGCAGGGAACAATTAGGAGCAGAGGATCATGTTCCCTGGTAGGTCCCGGCTCGCACGCAGGGAAAGGAAAAATGAATCTGTGCAGCAGGCACGGGGACTCGCCCACCAGGGATGTGGAAAATCCACGGATTTCCATCGTGGAGGGATGAACGATGGTGTGGTGATGGGGCAGCCACCTGGGCAGGGCCAAGGAGAAGGACGTGCCAGTGGCACCCAGCCCAGTGCCCGTGCCCATGGTTGCACCCTGTAGCAGCCTGAGATACCTGGGGCACGTCCAAGGTGAAGGCTGGGTTTGAAATCACTGAAGAGGGCAGCCAAAGCGTTTTAGGCAGGACCGGGGTGGGCGAGGTGATGGAGGAGTGTGGGGTCTGTGATTCCCGATGGATGTGTTTGGGATGCAGGCGGAGGGGTGCAGTAACACGAAGGATGCTCTGGCAGAGGCACCGGGCGGGTGGTCGGAGGCTGTGGCTGGCTTGAGAGGGGGAAGAAAAAAGCCTGTAGCCTTCCTATCATCCCAATGGAAATTGAAAAAGGAAAATCCCGTCCCTTAGGGGATGAGGAGGCTGCTCTGGGGGTCTGTGAGCAGCATCTCAGACTTGGGTTCTGATGCCGTGGCTTTGCAGGTGAACGGCATAAATGTGGAGGGCCTGCGGCACTCGGAGGTGGTGTCCCACATTAAGTCCAGGGAGAACGAAGCCAGGCTCCTGGTGGTGGACCCCGAAACAGATGATTACTTCAAGAAGCTGGGGGTGACCCCCACGGAGGAGCACACCAAAGGTGAGACCTCGCTTTCCCTGGGTGACACTACACCGTTCCTGTGACTCACCGTGTCATGGGTGGGATTTCAGAAGTGAGGGAGAGTCACGTTTCCCTTCTGTCTCATCCCTTGGTAGTTTCCTGAGCACCACCCAGCTATTTATAAATAGCGAGAACGCTTCCTAACCTAGCCAAAAAGCAATTTGTTATTTTTATATGGTGAATAATTAACTTAGGAACTTGCTGCCATAAAGCGGCTGAGGGAAAGCATGGTGGGGTTTGGGGGGAGCTGGGCGCTCGGTGAGCGATGAGCTCAGGGAGGGATGCTCAGATGGAACCGGTCCATCTGGTTGGGGCTGGGAAGCCTCTCTGACAGCAGTTCCTCCAGCCCCTCTGTTTTTGGCTGCAGCACCCACACCCTGGGAGACAGGGTGTCTGGTGTGGGAGTGGGTGGACCCGCAGGGTCCAGGAGCAGAGCGGTCTGCCCAGGGTGCTGAGCTGGGGGTCTCGGGAGGGAGAGTGCCATAAATCCCCCGTTGCTCTTTGCTCCGGTGAAGGAGCCTGAGGGTGCATCGAGAAATACCGGAGCAAAACGCCGTGTGCGTGCAGCGGGAAGGGTTTCACGCCACGGCGATCACAGGGGTGGCTGTTGCAGGAAATGTTTTCTTTGCTGTTGAAACCTGGCAGAGAAAGCCGCCTCTCCGCTCCCCGACCTGTTGTGCTGCGGCTCCCGGCTGGGGAGGGAGTGGGGTGCTCCCCAGCCCGTCCTGCTCCCCCCGGCTGAATGGGGAGCTCTGTTTCCCAATACAGCTGTTCCTTATCTGATCTGCAGCCCGGCTCCCTCGGATACTCAATGGGGAGATTTGTCCAAAAAAATAGGTCAAACAAAGCTGAGAAGCGCACGGGGCGAAAGCGGTGTCAGATGCTCCGTGTCGGTTCGAGGAGGAGCTGGGGTGAAGCTGTCTGCTGGCACGAGCGATAAAGGAGCCCTTGTTCCCCGGGGGGGGATGTAGCCAGGGCCACGGATGCATGAGGGGGGGTGCGGGTGGGTGCTCGAGCCCCTGCCTTGGCTCTGCAGCTCTCGCTGCCGTCTCGATGCATTCGTCAGAGATCAAGAACTGGGTCTGGCTGGCTGGGGACGGCACCTGTGTTGATGACAAAGTGCTCTGGTAAATTCTGTTGTTTGCAGGATAAGAGGAAATAATAATTGCGCTCTTTAATCAAACTGCTTTGACCTCAAGATGACAATTTAAAAGTCTTACAGCTGATCCTAAGCACCTCAATGTTTTAGCCAATGAGTATATTTTAAGAACTATGCACCTTTCGGGAGTAAGGAGATAGGAAAATATTTCCAGACATGCCAAATTTTGAAATAACTTTTTTTTTAAGTCCAGTTCCACTTTAATATTGCTTGTGATTTGAAACTTGCTTCTCATTTAAATAATATTATCTTTTAGCTTCTTATGACACCAGAGACTTTAACATCATCTCTGCTATGAGCCGACTTTCTTCCGATGACCATTGCTCAGAGCTTATCAACGAGTCCAGCATTCAGTGTGATAAAATACTCAAGGATCCCAACACCATAACTGAGGCTTTTGCACCAGCATGCTCTCAAAATTATGATTTGGGTTTATTTTTTTTACAAGGAAAGGTGCCCTGATTTGCACTAGGAATCCCTGCAGCTCTCACTGATCCAGCCCCCAAATCGGTCCTTCGGAAAGCCCAGCCGTGCCCGTACGTGGTGCAGGGAGATGATGGCTCTGGAGCTGTGCAGTTAGCTGCCCTGGGTCTCTGCAGTTGCAAGATGCATTTGGCACCACGTGCTGCTCTTGCTTCACTGGATTTCGGGTGACACAGCGATGTGCATCCACATCATTGTCTTCTGCTGGAGATATGCACAGAGTGAGGGCTTTGCCCCAAGAAGCATTCATGCTTGACATAATTCAGTTATTAATCCTGTCACAATTAACACATCTGTTAGCCTGAGACAGATGAGACGTGGTAATGCCTTTAGCAATGACTTGATTGTGGTGACTGGCAGCTTATCTGCATAAAATTGGCCATCTTGTGGAATATTATTAGTGCAAATCGTTGGAAGTGAGCAAAAAAAAAAGTGCCAGGGTACCTGGGGGGTGGGTTCCTTGCCACATGCTGTTATGACACCAAGGTGCTGATTTCGGTGAAGAACGTTGGGTTGTTTTTTAAGATTTCTGATGAAACAGCTTCTGAAGAAAAATTAATAGTCAAAAAAATGAGACAATGCAAGTTACTTGGTCCCCTTCCTGGAAGGTGTTTTCTTCTGATGAAAGCAGGGTGACATCAAGTGAAATCAGGGGAATTTGAAAGGATTTGGTTCCAGAAGGGCCCAAGGGGGATGGACAGGCTTTTGTGCAGGCTCGGAAGCAGCACAGGACAAAGTCAAGAGACAAAACACGCTGAGCTGGTGGGGTGGGCAGGGGAGAAGGCAGGCTCGGGTGGGCGATGCTGAGGGATGCTTGCCTGCGACCCAAGGCCGGCAATCCCAGCTGAGTGTATTTACCACGTCTTTTCTTTCTGTGGTCTATAGGTGTGGTACCTCAGCCCATGACAAACGGATCCGCACAGACTCAGGTGAGTACTTGCCTGGTCCAGAGTGCCCCGAGGGCTGGGGTGGCTGGGCAGCATCCCGGGTTAGCTCAGTTTAGGGGAATGTGTTGGAGGGATCAAGAGGGATCGGGGGGAGAGGCCAGGCTCCTGGCACGCCAGCTTTCCTTGGCTCCCACCTGGGACACGTGAGCCTGTCGGGATGACTCGCCAGCCTGCGGAGCAGAGAGGGATGCTCATAATGTCCCCAGGGCTCATTTAGCTCAGTTTAACTGCTGCTGGCTGATCTTAATTGCTTCCTGCTGCAGCTTTAATTTAGGGGTTGAACAAGGCTGGTTTCGGGGCCACTTAATCCCTGTTCCCAGTGACAGAGGGAGGAGGCGAGGGGTGGCAAGTGGCTGCCCGGCGCTGGTGGGATGGTCTGGGGGATGCGGGAGAGCAGCGGCTCTGCCCGCAAATCCCGGGGAGCTCCGGGGCGTGTGCGCGCGTGAGTGTGCAGGGTCCCTTCGGCAGGACCCTCCCCTCCAGGCTCTGGCCCTGGACAAGCCAGGCGCTGCTCTCTGCCTGGTGCAGCGGCTGGGGTGTCCGTCCCCACTGGGCTGGAGCATTTTTCTGCCTAGCTTTTTGTTTTGATTTTTTTTTTTCTAATTCTGTCTTTGTGCAAACTGGACTACCATTTTAATTTCCACTAGCTGAATGGAGGATCCACATCTTCATCTCACAGTGACCTTCAAAGTCCTGGGAAGGAATCAGAGGTAAAAACCCCAAACGTTGCCCCTCCCTTTTACACACTATTGTAGGTACATACTTGCCTTGTGGTGCTGTGTAACGATGCATTCCCAGTTTTGTCTCACAGACTTGGGTATACTTATACCCATCCAGCAAACAAAATCCAGGGTTTTCTTTCATCCCTTGCACTGTAGATGTGCATGAAATGGAGCCGTGAGCTGTCAGCAGCTGCTGGTTCCAGCGTGGAGGTGGCTGTGTTGCTGGGATGGATCAATAACTCCTTCAGGTGGCCGGTCAAGGGCTCGGGACCCTTGGGGTGACGTGTGCCGTAGCAGCACAAACTGCTGTCACAGAAATGTTCTTTCCCTTCTTTGTCCGGGTGACAGAAAAGCTCATGGGGGATGCATGGCCTCTGCCAGCAGCAGCAGCAGATGTCTCCCGTTAATGGACGAGTTTTGCAAGGGTGCAGACGTGTGCTCCGTCCTGGCTGCGGGAGGACTCACGTGTGCTCGTCCCTTTGGGCATCGTCACCTCGGGGAGGAGGTGGCACTGCCCCAAACGCGGGCAGAGGAGAACGTCGAGGGGTGACGGCAGCAAGTTAATTGGCGCTTCGTTGGGCAGTGACTTGTGCTTGAATAGTTTGAAAGGAGGTGTAAGATGAAAGGATGTCTACGAGAGTTTTGGATCTTAAGTGTAATTATACTGACAAGCTACAGGGCGGGAGGCGAGGCTGGGAAGCTGCGAGGGCAGGAGGAGCGGAGCCGTGAGGTTCAAGTGCTGCTAAGAGGAACAAGGCAGGCTAAAATTTAAAAAAGCCAAGTTGCTTTTAGCTTGGGGCACAGTGAATTTATCACAGTGTTTAAAGGAGCTGCTCAAGATGGGAGGAGCATGGATTTGGTGCCTTGCAGGGCTGGGGCTGTTTCTCTGGTGGAGCCTGGCTGAACACCGCAGCAAAGGCAGACCTCGCTGTGCAAGGGGGATGAGTGACCAAAAGTAAACACAAGGCATAGACTGGTATTCTCTCGGTGTTATTAACTGAGCAGGTTTTTTTTTTTCTTAAAATAAGAAGTAAGGGATTTCTAAACTGCTCAAAAATTTCTTTAGCATGAGGCTCTGCTAAAAATAGAGGAATGCCTCCATGCAGGTGCTCTGCGGGGTCTCTGCTGGTTCTGGGTGCTTGTGCTGTCCCCTGCCCCCAGACTGCTGGATGCGGGAGTCTGACGGCAGCAAGTGCTCACGCAGCCTCCTCTGAGCACCCAGAGCCTCTAAAACATCTCGAACGCCAGCTGTGTCCGAGAGCTGTGGCCAAACGCCTGCAGTCTGGCATCTCCGTTTCTCTCTGAGCATTAAATAATACATGTCCTGATCCAATGGCTGCTGCCTTTGGAACACTGGGCTGTGTCCTGGTGCCTGAGCATGGCGGTTTGTCCCGTGGGCTGTTTCAGAGATTGCTGTCCCTCCGCTGCACTAGAAACCAGAGTCCCTGGGGGGTAACAGGGGGTTTGCCTGTGTCTCTGCCCCCCAGTTCGTAGCCTGGTGTGCTCATTCAAGCCACCACCCAGTTCAGTTTGCATTTGTAAGCCAGAGCAAAGCTGGAGCCATTACGTTGCAGTGCTGGTGGACGACCTGCCCATGGTTATCAGCAGCGTTTGTGAAATCATATATTTTGGACTTTCGCATGCGTGGTAGGGCAGCAATGCGAGTAGGCAGGCTCTAAAATGTTCCCTTAAAACAGAAGGTCTTGATTCTGTATGTTTGCACACTATTGACAGGAGCACGGTGCTTGCAGAGCGCAGCCGTGCTGCTCCGGGGTGCAGCAGCCGCTTATCCCTGAACCTGGCTCCTCGGGCACCTCTGCCCTGCCCGGCACCGAGACCTGGCAAAGCCTCCGTACAGACATGACTGAAGAAGCAGAAGCTTTAGATAGTGCCCATTATGGAGCTTTAGACTGTGCCCGCTATGGAGCGTGCTGCCCGCCGAAACCAGCTCTGATGAGCCAAGTCTCTGCAGGGATGATGCTTCCCAGCCCTGTGGGGTTTGAGGGGCTCGGAGACCCGGTGCTGGGTCTGTCCCCAGCAGGGATGCAATGGGCCAGGATGTTAATTGTACCCTGAGGACGTGGTGGCTGTCCTTCACCTACTGCAAGAACAAGGGGGTCCGGGTTAGTGGTCAGGCACCTGGGGTTTCTGGCTTGAGGGCACATTGCTGCAGTGGCAGTGATTTTAGAAAGGAAAGTTAATTTTCTTCTTATAAAAGTACTTTTATTAAGCAGATGGAAAGATGCTGTTTTCAATACAGTTCCCAAAGCAAATACTGCCTTGGCTGGCATCTTACGGTGGCCATGCTGGGCATGGCCAGCTGGGTACCCAGGCAGGCACTGCTGTCCTCCCACGCACCCCCCCCTCCCTGCCTCGGTTAGCCACGGGTGCTCTGGGAGCAAACGGGTGCCAGGGCAGGCAAACACAGGGTGGGGGGCCTTGCCACAACCCCTCCCTGCGAGCCCCGAGGCTCCCCCAGCTTGCTCCCTCATCCCTGCTTTCTGCCTACACCAGGGGCTTATTTTTCATTTTCCCAGCAGACAAGCCGAGCAGCTTGTTTTCCCTTTGGCAACAGCTTCTGTGTTTCTGCTTTTCCACTTCTAGCCGTGGCAGCCACACATTCTTCAGGCGGGGGGGGAAAAACCCCCACAAAATGCAATGTAGTAATTAACTCCGTGGCCACACGGATGCTGCCGCCGCTGGTGAAACCACAGACATGGCACAGGGGAGGGACTTTGACCTTCTGCTCCAAAAAAACCCACCCCTGTGCGTTTGCTTATCGTGCAGCTGGAGGAATCACCTCTCCCGGGGCCGCGCGGGGTGAAACGGTGCAGGACACTGTGGCCGTGCTCATGGCGGTGGGGGGGATGCTGCCGTGGGCTGACATCTTTTTGTCCTTCTCCGTGCAGGATGGAGACGTTGAGAAGAAAGACCCATTTGAGGAGAGTGGGCTGACCCTGAGCCCAACGGCTGCTGAGGCCAAGGAGAAGGTGCGGGCCAAGCGGGTGAAGAAGAGGGCTCCGCAGATGGACTGGAACAAGAAGCGAGAGATTTTCAGCAATTTTTGAGCCTTGCTGGTGGCTGCCGTCCGCCGTTCTCCTGCCCCTGCCCCAGCTCGGACGTTTCTGAGGTGCCTACGCCCTGTCCTTCAGTGTCCATGTGAGATGCTTTGTGCTCTGCTCTTCACTGGTTGCTTTTACAAGGCGTATTTTAAAGTCTTTTTTTTTTTTATTTTTTATTATTATTATTATTGTTACTCACCAGCAATTCTCATAAGACAAATGTGACCAAAGCTCCTTTTCTTGCTTGCTCTTCAGCCCAGTTCTGGCTGCCTGCCGTCCCCCCTTCCTATGAGAAAGGACTGGAAGAGTTTAACTCTTGTTTCTTACCTGCAGCAGTTAGGCTTCTATTTCCTTTTTTTTTTTTTTTTTAATTTGGAGTGTTTGTTTTGGTTTTGCTGGTGTCCCAGGCTGAGCCCCATGGGATGCTCTGTGCCCCTGTGCAAACGTCTTACGGCCTCGTGCCCCCGCCGTGGTGGGGGCCTGCAGGGTGGGGTATACCTGGCACCCCCTCCCCAGCACCCCATCTTCAGCGTTAACTACTCACAGGATGGGAAAACGGACAGTGGCTGTAAATCGCTCTTGGTGGCTTTGCTATTGAAAAGAAAACATTTGTTTTGTTGTTGGTTTTTTTTTTTTTTTAATGAAGTCCCATATGTTTCCAGTTAGTTTAGGAACCTCCCTCCCCACCAGTGACTTCTGCCCTGGCAATAAAAGCCCCTTTTTCATCCCCGACAGCTCTGCAGAGGGGAGAGGGCGGGATTTAAAAACAAAACCCAAACCCAACAGCCTAAACGCCACAGGCCTCACCGTTTGCAGCCGTCGATGCAGCACCGAGCAGCAGGGGAAGGCAGGGAGCGGGGCCAGTCCTGCCCCGCGGTGCGAGGAGCGGTGCTGCCGGCCCGGCTCCGGCAGCCTTGCGAGAAGACAAGAGCCACGAGATGCTACAAAAACTCTTTGGACAGACTTGAAAGCCAGCACGACCCAGCATCTGTTTCCAGGGAGGAACGCGGGGATGTGGCTCTAGCTGCGGGCTTGGTGCTGGGGAAGTGGGGCTCAGCTGTGGCCGTGCCTGGGCGCTGGGTCCCGGAGCAGGGTCCGGGTCCCACCTGGTTTGTTACTTCTGGGCTGGTGTTTGATGCGTAACTGAGTCTCGGTCTCGCTGTCAGTAGGGCACTCTCGAAGCCGTGGGGTCTCCGTGGGGCTGGCTCCGAAGCAGGCGGTGGTGTGATGGAGTGGGCGGTTGCTTATGGCCTCCTTTGAAAACACCCTGCTTTTGGTATTACAGCGTCAAAAATGTACCTTTAAAGCATTACAAATTAAGCCCATTTAAGCTCTTTATTACTTGCCTTTGGCTGTAAACGAGGGAAAATGACTAGTCTGAACTACAGCACTCTCGGAGGTTGCAGACAGAGGTGTTTTACCAGGGCAGGGTCCTGGCTGTGATGGGGCCGGTTCCTTCCTTCCCACGCTCCAGCAGCTCCCCGAGCCCAGCCACAGCGGCTGCCCAGTATTTCAGCTCAAATGCCAAGGGAGCAGTGGGAAGGGACTGGGCACAGCAGGACAGTCGAGTACAAAACCGCTTTCCCCAGGTAAAAGCAAATGGCAGCAATCACTTGGACATCGATGACCGTTTTAAAACACACGGCTGTGATTTTGCTCTGCATTACTCCAGCACTGCTGTGTTCCAAGCCCGTGGCCTTTGGGTTAGTCAGTGCGCTACGGATATCGTAACGGCTCTGTGTATTTCCCAAGTATTGAGCTAAAAGGTGCCTTATAACATTTACTGCTCTCCTCTGCAGTGGGTTGGGGCTCAGCACAGCGCTGAGTCGGTGCGGGGCAGGGGGACCGCGGCAGCGGAGCCAGGACATAGGGCTTCACCGTGGGGAGCAGCTGATGCCCATGGCTGTTAGCTGGCTGGCAGGAGAGCATGGAGAGCCTCAGGGGTGAAGGAGATGAGTTCTCTTGTACAGAAGTTATCTTTTAGGAATGTTGATGGGCTGAACAGGTTGAAAATAATGACTTTGGAGAGGAACTGGTGCAGGTGTTTGGCTATTGGTAATGAGACTGGCAGCAGGATGATGGCTCAGGATGCGGAGAGGTTTGCCTCCCCTCCAGGACTCTGCTATTAACAAGACGCCTCTTCCCTACCCCACTTCAAAGACAATTACCTGCTCTCTTTTTGGCCCTCCAAATATTTGCTTCTATAAATCGGTAATCTTTTGAAGGAGCCCTTCTTTTTCATGGTATGCACATTGCTTCCCGTGCCTGCGTAGCCAAACCCCAAGCAGTGCCCTGGTCTGCACAGGGCAAAGTGTTCCCCATTACACTGACCTAAATGTCACGCTCTCCGATGCATGTCAGAGAGCAAAGACCTGTTTGTGAATACCGCATTTCTTGTACAAGACTGGACCACTGTAGTTGAGGGGGGAAGAAAAAAGAAAATGTAGTTTTGAATGCAGATCAAAAGAAATCAGGTGTGCAAATCTGTACTGATAAGATTTTAAAATCTTAATCTCTGCTTAGTCCGTGGAAACTGCTCCTGGTTAAAGCACTTGCTGTATTTCTGACATCTTGTAGCTCAGTAGTAATTATTCAGTTCCTGTACATTTAACTTGGAAAAAAATCAATAAAGTATAAGGCTGTCAGCTGCATTGTAAAAACATAATGTACACTGTAACGTCAGTAATAAACTTCGTTTTCCCATGTACTGAGTACTTATTTGCTCGTTCCTCATCTGTTTGGTAGGGAACTTCAGAGCGGAATTACAGCCTTCTTTAGCACATTATAAACTTTGCTTCCTCCCTTGCCTGTTTAAAGAGTAGCTGAAATTATTCCTTTGAAGCTCTACAATGAAGTCAGCACTGCCCTTTCTTTGAAGAACAAAACACAGACAGTGGTGGTGTCCCTTCTGTCAGCTTCTGAGGCACACACTAGCCTGGCTCCCATGGCCACTAGAACCCTTGCTGGCACACACAGAACTGAGTGCAGTGCTGGCTGGTCTCCTGCCCCCCCAACCCCCCCTCCTCTGCATTACCCCCTGCTCTTCTGCCACCAGGATCCAGAGGTCACTTGTCCAGGCGGCATCCTCCTCTGATCCTGGCTCATGAGGTCTGCAGTTGTACCTTATTCATTGCAGTGCTCCTCACTGTCTGGGCTAAGCAGGCAGCTTGGCAGGTTGTGCGCTGCCTCTTCTCAGCTGGCAGGACTGGCTGCTATGGTCTTACACTTTAGTGAGGTCACCCGTGCTCTCCTCCCCCTGCCCCGTGTTGCACAGATGCCAGCAAAACTCATAGGTGGAAAAAAACCCCACCACCTTTATTAAATGTGTATTTACAAGCAGCAGCAAGTCCCCTAGGACAAAGCATTTCTCTCCAGCTACTCCTGACGCGGCACAGCCTGCTGCTCTGCTGGGGCATGCTCAGGCATTCATACGGGGGCTGGAGCCTTTAGCACTGACGCAGCGGGACTGCTGCACTTTGAAAGACCCTTTTTCCTCTCGAGAGCTCAGCCATTGCCAGCGGCTGCTCCCTCCCCAGAGATGCTGAGCTGGCTGCAGCAGTCTCCTGTTTCCCTGCAGTCACACAGCCAGCCCCGTGCAAAGCACAGCTTTACTAGGGCTCAGCTCCGGGCTGCTGCTGAGCTGAAGTAGCTTTGTTGCTCTGCGAAGACCGGATGATCCCTCAGGGTCTCTTAGCAGCTGGGCAAATGTCTTGATTGAGGCACTCATTGCAGCGAGGATTCACAGGCAGGCAGGTCTGCTGACCAAAGCCTACCAAGAGCCAGTTTATCTCCCTCCAGAGATCCCTGCGGTGAGAGGAAAAAACATGAGCTTTCTGATACAGCTGCTCAGAGGGGCTCAAGGACAGCCTGTGCTTTTAAATGGATCCCTTTTGCCTACTGCCTGTTCCTCTTGGCTTCCCAAGGCGCCTGGAGGCAGCTCCAAGCCTCCTGCTACGAACAGCCCTCCTAACCTTTCCTGATCCCTCTGAACTGGAGTGGGGAGCAGGGGGCAGACACACTAACTGCCTGTGGTCATTCTCTTGTGCTAAGGCATGTGCCAGATGTCGAGATGCAACACAGTACCTGTCAGCTGGCATGTGATACTGAAGATTAACCATCAGTGAAGGCCAGAATCTAACCATGGTCTGATACTGCTGTGGCCATTAGGCTCAGCAAGGTCCTGTGTAGAAAAGGACCTGCCTTGGGTCACGGTAAACTTGCCAAGCCAAGAATTGGGCATCAAGACGTACAGGTACCTGGCTGCACTAGTGGCGATACATATATCTGATAGCCAGGAAACAACCAAGTAGCTGACATGCTGCTGCTGCAGCTCTCTGGGAGAGAAACACCTGCAGACTAGTTCCCCCATAGAGAGAAGGGACCCAAAGTGCAGTCACTGAAAATGCTATAAGCAGGATTGTGTGCAGACATGGCTCCTGCAACTAGCTTGAGGGGCTTGGTGTGGAGGAAGGAGGCTGGGGTCTCGGGCCTCACCTGGGCAGCCAGTCCTCTAGCGCTACCCGAGTTTCCTCAGGGTATCTGGTCTCCTTCTTCACCCACTTGAGCCTGTTTGTGATCCTGTGCACATGGGTGTCCACAGCTAGGAAGGGAGAGCCCAGAGTTTAGGTGGGGGCAGACACACCTGAACGGAGAGAGCACAGCCAAAAGCTGCCTGTCACAGCACACCAGGTACAGCACCCTGCATGGGCTTCCTCCACGGGCAAGCAGAAACAGGCAGGTGAAACAGGAGGGGAGGTTCACTCACAGAACAAACGTGCTGCTTTCTTCCTAGGCCCAGAGCCAAAAGCAAGATGGGATGGATATCTCTCACACCACGCAGCTAGTGACACGCTCACACAATCTGACCCAGCCTCCCTTCAAAGGCTCGCACGCTCTGATCTAGCAGGCACAGGGCAGCCTGTCCCGGGTTCTCTTCCTCCCCGTGTTTCAGCTGATGTTACGCAAGTTGCAATCTCTGCCCCTTAGTTTACCCAGATGGAAAACACATTTCATAATACCTACCAACACAAGAGGGTTTATGAGGCTTAAACGAATGTTTATGAAGTGCTTTGAGCTAAAAAGCTCTGAATGCAAAGTATATTATTGTTAGATCAGCAGCGATAAACCTGTCTCTATGGCTAATTGGGCAAAACCCAGGAAATTGCTGTAAACAGGAAGACTAAGTCTTGCCTCCTAAATCAAAACTGAGCACACAATTATTTGGAAACAGTTGGCTAGTCTGGCTCCCTCTAGACTTCCCTCCCCCACAGCAGGGAGAGAACAACAGACCCCAAGCGCTGTCGAATCTAGTGCAAGAGCCACATTTCCTACAGCTGACGGTCACCAGTGGGGCTGCAGGAGTCAGCTGCCGCCCGCGCTGACCTTGAGTTGCGTGCTCGCTGCGGCAGGAGTCATTCATCAGGTGGAACCACTCCTAGCTTTCCCAGGGCTCCTCCATTAAGCAGCAAATACACTTGGAATATTAATTTGTCTGAAGGGGCCCCCAGGCCAGGCAGCCCGTCGGGACCCTGCAGCTGATCGTCCAGCCCCATCTGCCGGCTACTGCGGGCAGCTCTGCTGCCAGCCATGCTCCCCAAACAAGCATCGTGCAGGAGCCAACCTGCCCTGGGTCTGGCCTGGGCCCATCTCCACTGCAGACCTCCTCCCAGCGGATAGCTGCTGAGGCACACAGCTCCACAGGGTACAGCTATGCGCTCTCCTACGCTCTCTGGTCAACAAACACGGCAAATAAACAAATGTACCTGTGGCCACCTATCCCAGCCGCGGGAACTAAAACACATCAGAAATTCTGTAGCTACAGATTGCCTGAAACCATTTATTTCTACCACCCATCACGAATTACCGGCTTCAAAAGGTAATTTTGACTAAGCCCTGCTTCTGCCCTCTTACAGCTTGCGTAACAAAAATCTCAAATGAGATTTGTTTAAACAGAAGCAACCCTGGAAAAAAAATTAACCTCAGACTATCCTACAACTATCCCCAAATCACAGAATTACCACCACCTCTCTTTCACTTGACACCAAAGAGATTTCAAAGCATTATTCTGCTAGCACATCTTTTTGGATGCCTACTCAATTAGGTAATACTTGCACTGCTTACCAGCATCTGAGGGGAGTGACTGCCTATAGGGATTTCTGCTATCAAATATGGGGAAAACCAGTAGCTGGATCCGTGCTTAAATCCTATAGCAACTCATCTGCTGTGAGTGGTTGAGGGTCACATCCTTCACCCACCCAAATACTCTGCAGATGATTAAATAGAAGTGATGCTATCAGGCTCCTGGGGCAAGCAGTTTACCCAGCTGCAATGCTTCCCCTCTGCCTGGGGAATGGATCAGGCAGGATTCAGGAGAGGAATGGGGAAAACATGGTCCAACCTACCTATCCCAGACACACTGTCCCAGGCAATGTTCATGGCCAAGTAGGCCATTTTGGGCCCAACTCCTGGCAGCTGCACCAGCTCCTCCACAGTTCGTGGTATGTCACCCCCATATTTCTGCTTCAGAATGGCTGTCGTCTGCTTTATGTACTTCACCTTGTTCTGGAAAACCAAGGGGAAAGGCAGAAAATCCAAGTTGCCCTCCAATACAGGGAAAAGAGACAAACAGCTCAGAAAACAAACCATTCCCGAGTGTATGTGACATGCGAGGGCACACATTGGAGTTTGCAGAAGGGAGACAGAGGTCTTTGATTTCTCCTTTAAAGCAAAATGCTGAGACCTGATTAGCTCTAACCTTCCCTGCGCACTCCAGGCACTGCAGCAAACAATCTTGCTGTGAATACAAATTGCTAAAACTAGTGTAAAATACAGCCTTCAGCTTGACTCCAGGGGAAAGATCACCACAGGGCACGGCACGCAGGCTGAATACCAGCTGGGAGAGTGTCTCTCAGGAGCAGGGCTGGTTCGCACCCGCCTCCTGCCTTGATCTCCTGCTGTCAGCTCAGTGACTGGCCACGAGTGCAGCCTGCAAAGGACAAGCCTGCACCCGCTTTGCGCTCCTCTCCTGGGCCTCTGAGCTGTCTCAGACAGCTGCATTGGAGCGGAGGACAGCGGAGAGGGTTCCACTACTTGCATGTCAGGTGCTGCTGCGATCCTGCACTCACCCTCCAGAATCCTACCGGGTAAATGATCTGCCCAAGTGTTGCATCATCCATCTGCAAAATACTGTCGACTGTGAGGCCATGCTCCCTCAGGCGCAGCATGGCAGCTGATGTCACCTGGTCCTTGGTCTGGCTGGAGAGCATCAGTGACAGCAGAACTTGGTAGCGCATAACCTGGGGGAAAAGAGACAGTGATACACCCCAAGATCTCTGAGAGGATCTGGCCACCTCTGGGGCTCGGTTCTCCCATCCAGCACCATCTTCAGTCCAGTGCATAATATGGACCTACCCTGGTTCAGCTGTATCCGTCTACAAGAGGCTGGAAGGCTGCAACAGAAATAATCCATAACCTTTTAATTCTACCACACAATAAAGACAGAAAAGAAACACCTTCAATCTAAGCAGTCAGCACGCATAAAAGAGCAGAGAGCAGCTACTGTCTGCTGGGATCTCACATCCAAAGACGCCAGTGCTTAGCCGCAAAGGGCCAGACAAAGCTTCTCCTGATGACAGGATTCTCAGGAGACCCCACAGGACATAGAAGTACAAACGCCCAATGATTTTTCATGCAACTTCTGCTCTAAGCAGCTTCCGAAAATCCCAGCCCTTTCCCACTAGACTTCAGTAAGAATTGGGTATCTGGCTCCAGTGAGCTCCTTACGAAACCAAATCTAAAGAACTGGGATGACAGAGACTGGGAGATGAAGCACAAAACCCAGAAGTTCCACTGATGCCGCCATGCAGGGTTTAGCCCAGACCATCCACCTCCTATTTTTGAATTGATTTTTCCCCAGATGCAATTCTGTCCCCACCAGAATGAGGAGGATGATGCAACTAACCTGGACTAGCCCAGAATAACGTGGGATACAATCCTTCCTCCAGGTATCTTACAAACAAAGTTAACAAAACTGCAGGCGCACCAGGAAAAAATCTCCAAGTGCATGGAAATTGTGTGAGGAGCACTGGTGTGTGCTGAGGGTTACAACATCCACTTTTTCTTGGAAGCAACAACCCTGCTTCCCTAGGGAAGAAAAGTTATTTCTGTATCTTGCACCACGGTCCCCCTGGCCCCACAGCTGCACTTGGTGCCAGCCCACATGGCTGTGGAGCGTGTGATGCTGTCTGAAGCTGGAGTCAAAGCTAACCGTTTTCCCCAGGGATCCAAGCCCAGGGCACAGTACCAGCAATAAGGACAACGCTACATGCACTGAAGCTGTGCAGCTGTGTCTTTGAGACCCCTCCCTCAGAGCCCTGCAGGTTGCTGTGGAGCATACGACTCCCACTGCTCTGCCAAGCCTGCCTACGGGTTATCTCCATGTTCCCACACCAGCGCTGTGCATGGAGAGCGCAGCCCTGCGTCCCAGAGCTGCACCACGGCCTCACTCCGCTTTGTTTTTTGTACTGATGCAAATGGTCCCCTCGGAGGGAGGTGTCATCTGGGGCCTTTGATTGTGTTCCCAGGCTTGGGGAGCACACTGCCATCCCAGCATGGCCCTTCCTTTCAACCAGTATCCCCTTAAAAGTGGAATGCAAGAGGGGAGGAAGGCAACCTACGCTTATGTGCTGCTCTGAAGAGCATAAAAGCAGCCTGGAAAGATTTTTCTCGGCTCCCCTTGCCTTCTCTCTGTACTGTTTTTGCTCTGTATTACAGAGCCATCTTGCTGGATACTTTCCTTGGACTCCTACAGAATTTTTTAAGAAAAAAGGGACATTCCTTCATGTCTTGCCAGCCTGCCTCTGAAGACAGCCCTGCCACAATACACTCTGAGGCTTTTCACTCTCAAGTCCAAAATCATCCTATTTTTGCCTCAGCTCCCACTCTAGGTTCAGCCTGCTAACTCTTCTGGCAGCAGTTTAAGCAGAGGACAAGGGCCTTTCAGAGCTGTGTTTGCTAGTTGGTCTCTCATGCCCAGCATGGGGCTGAATGCAAGCAGAGAATAGCTCAGAAAACACCCACTGCCATTTCACAAGGGCTGTCTGAAGCCAACAAGCCCAATACCGGAGCAGCAGCAGCTGACTCTTCTCCTCTAGCAGGATGAACAGTTTCTCTCATATGCACACTTCTGCGATAACCTCTTGTGGGACCAATCCCAGCCTAGAGTCCTAATAAGCCCTGTGTTTATTCTTCTGTTCTGGAGTCAACCAAAGTGGGACATATATCCAGGGGCAACATGAGGATGAGGGAGGCTGGAGGGCTGTGGAAATGGGGCTGTATTTCCATGTGCCTGCCTGACGGAGCAGGGCAGCAGGTCATTGTTACCTGTGGAGGTGCGCTGCTGTCGTAACACTTCTCCACTCCCATCTCATCGACGGGAGCATCTCTGTTCCTCCTCATTTCCCGGATGCGCTCCAGCTGCTGCTGCCAGTCCCTTGGCTCCCAGCGCGGTCTCTGGGGCTCAGTCGCCCCTTGCTCAGCACCATCCCCCTGCCCAGATTCGTAGGCAATGGTGACACTCTTCCTCCTCCTGCTGCGCCTCAGGATGCCAGCTGTGCTGGGAACCTGGCTCGCTGCAAGAGAGTGGAAGAGAGATTTTTCAGGCCTGAGGTCAGGGGAAAGAAGCCTTCATCTCCCACCACAGCATCGCTCCTGTGTGCCAGCAACCACCCAGGGGACCCCGACGAGGGCTGAACTTGTCTTCCCCATAGTCCCAACCCAGCAGCAACACCTCACATCTAACCGGCACCAGCCGCGGGGCGAAGAAGGGCTGGGAAAGACCCGGGAAATAGGTTGACAACAGTTGGGGACACATGTCACGCTACGGGGACGCGTGTCCCAAACACACAGGAGGCTGCAGAAGGACAAGATGCATCCCCAGGCCCTCGCCCAGTGCCACAGGCGGGACAGCCGCCGGGGTCCTGCCACATCCCGGGCTCCGAGGGAGACGTGACAAGGACACCATGCCCCCGGTCCCCCGGCTGGGCCTGGGCCCTCACTCCCCCTGCTTGCAGGCCCTCCCCTCCCCGTGCTAAGGCCGGGCCGGGGCCGCACAAGACCCCACCAGCCCCGGGAAGCACCGATCATCC